GGCGGATTTTCTTCACCTCCGTGTCTTTGAGGATCCGCAGGTGCACGCTGTGCTGTTTTCACGGAACCGGCAGGCTATGCTAGAACGGGCTTTCCATTCCGCCGCAGCCCCAAGGACCCTTCTGGTCAGGCCTCGCGGGGCACGCGGGGGCTCCTTCTAATGGCCGTACGACGTCCATTGTCTGGATGCCCCACTGCTGACTTAGCCCATCTCCTCTTGTCGGAGATTAGGACGCTGCGACTAATCCAACTAAGGAAACCTCACCTTGTTTTTCTTTTCTATCACCAGTGGGCTTCAGAAGATGCTCTGAGAGCTAATCTGTGTGACCATCCACAACTAATTTTTTTTTTCATTTTTTAAAGCTTATTTATTTATTTTGAGAGAGAGAGAGAGAGAGAGAGAGAGAGAGAGCAGGGGCAGGGCAGAGAGAGAGGGGGAGAGAGAGAATCCCAAGCAGGCTCTGGGCTGTCAGCGCGGAGCCCGACGTAGGGCTCGAACCCAGGAAACCTTGTGAGACCAAACCAAGAGTTGGACGCTTAACTGACTGAGCCCCCCGGGCGCCCCCACAACCATTTCTTTAACATAAACTCCTGGGAGTGAAATGGAAGGTCCTGGGGCGAGCACACGTGGCTGACAGCTTTAATGCACTTGAGCCAGGTTTCAGGCTGAGAGACGGTTCCCGGGAGGGAAGTGGGTGTTCCAGGCAGAGGTGTGGGCAAAGGCTCGTGTGCAAGGCGTCAAGAATTCTCTAAAGGCCTTTTTGGGGGAAAGACCTTGCTGCTTGTCTAGAATTCCAGGAAGGTGGCTTGGAATGACCTGGCTATTCTTCCGTGTGTCCTTCCCTCCTTCTCGGGGAGCCCTCTCCTCCCTGACCAGCCTGGTCATCAGCACCCCACTGATGAGCTCCCCAGGCCACACCAGACACCCACCGAACGTCTTATTTTTTTTAATTTTTAATGTTTATTGATTTTTGAGAGAGAGAGAGAGAGAGTGCAAGCAGGTGAAGGGGCAGAGAGAGAAAGAGACACAGAATCGGAAGCAGGCTCCAGGCTCCGAGCTGTCAGCACGGAGCCCGACGCGGGGCTCGAACCCACAAACTGCGAGATCGTGACCTGAGCCGAAGTCGGATGCTTAACCGACTGAGCCACCCAGGCGCCCCCCACCGAATCCTCTTTCTAAAGCTCAGCTGAGCTGTCTTGAGCTCCTGCCCTGGTCTCCTGAGCAGTCAAGGTCTCCCGTGCCTTTAGAAGATTCTTGTGGGTCTTGGGTCCCTTTCACTGTCCCTAGCCCACACCAGGCTCTGTCCTACTGCTGGTGACCAGCTGCCTTCATATGCTTCTGGCCAGCCCAGATCTTCTTTCTCTGATCCTGTCTCCTCAATTCTCTGCCCACTCCTTTCCCTTTATTGGTCCTGCCCCTTCCCTCTAAGGTAGTATGTGCCCACACTGAGTGGGAGCCCATCTAGGGCAGCAAAGGCTAGGTCATGATGGTGAGGGGCTGGGGGTTGATTCTTGAGGGGCTGGAGGGAAGTCCCTTTGGTTTCTTGGGAATGTTCGGAATAGGTCCTATTCTTCTAGATCCTTCCACTTTCTCCACTGCCCCAGCACCCTGCCTCCTCACCTCGGCCCCTCTGTTCCTTCCAGGCCAGTGCACTTCACCCTGGGTGGGGGCAGGTGGGGACCAGCCGGGACAGGTTGGGGCCAAGTCAGCCACACAAGAATTCTGGGCTGACCCCGGGAGACACATTTACATCCTTATCAGTAATTTCCATGGAGGGCTCCGTTGGGCATCTCCCGGTTTGTCCTTCTGGGGCCCTGGTCCCAGGGCTGGCAGGGCCTGGCTGCCGTGTGAGATGTGGCCACGTCCACGGGAACTGCCCAGCGTAGGGGCCTAGATGTGGCCTGAAGTTACCATCGCTAACACGACATTTTATCCGAAAATTAATCCTGGTGTTGCATTCTGTTCCCTAACGTGGCTGGTTTGTTTCAATATTAAAATATTTTAAGATCGTTGGGGCGCCTGGGGGGCTCCGTCGGTTAAGCGTCCGCCTTCGGCTCGGGTGGCGATCTCGCCGTTCGTGGGTTCGAGCCCCGCGTCGGGCTCTGTGCTGACGGCTCGGAGCCTGGAGCCTGCTTCGGAGTCTGTGTCTCCCTCTCTCTCTGTTCCTCCCCCACCTGTGCTCTGTCTGTCTCTGAAAAATAAATAACCATTTAAAAAATTTAAAAAGTAAAAAAGTAAACTATGCTAACACTAGTTTGTTACTTACTGTCGAGTAGATCGGCGCTCTGTGTGGAGTTGCTGAGGGCGTCCTGAAGTGTCCCGTGCCCCCGGCCATGCCCACCCGCCTTTCAGCAGCGGGGCCAGGGCAGCGGTCACCAAATAACTTCAGAGGCCACGATGTGCACAGTATCCTACGTAAACAGAGCCCCCCTAGGGTTGTGTAATCAATCCCACGGCCCCGGGGGCCACTAGGCTGGATTTTGTGCGCCATCGCGGCTAATAGACTTGGGCCGTGGCCTCCCCTCTCTGGGCTCCTGTCCCCGAAGGTGGCAGAGGGAAGCCGTGGGCGGTCTTCACAGGGCTGGACAGTGTCCTCCAGTTCACACGCTGTGACTCAGGCGTGGAAATTTCCGAGCGGGTAGGCGGCAGAAGAGGATGGCAGGTGGAGGATGGGCCCGGGGTGGGGGAGCTCCCCTGCAGGCACAGGCGGTGAGGGGGGTGCCCCCCTGCGCCGGCTGAGCGGCCCCCAGCCTAGTGCGAGGAGTGCAGCCCGGGTCCCGAAGGAGACAGGACTTCGACGGGGAGCTCACGGCGGGCAAAGTGCTGGTTCCTGAGCCTTCTCGGGGGGAACACGGCCCTGCCTGCGACAGCCCTGGGCTTGTGCGAGGGTGCAGACTTTGGAAGGGGCAGCGGCATGGCTCTTAGGCTCAGCGCATCTGCGGAGCAGCCCCCAACCCCCCAACGACCCCCAGGCCCCTCCACACGGGGCTGAATCTCTCTCCCCTGGGACAGGAAGCAAGTTTCACCTGCCCGCACTGGCCCCCTTTCTCAGCAACGTGCAAACGGGGTTCCAGCCTCCACTGTCCCGCCCCCACACCACGGGGGGCTCAGTGGAAGGGAGCTCTGGAACCCCCGCGGATGAAGAAACGTGTGTGTCTGTCTGTCGTCGAGCCCGGCTTCTCTTTCTCACCCCGCCCTGCTGCAGCAAACAAAGAGCATGCAAAGCAGCTCCCCATCCGTGTGTGTGTGTGTGTGTGTGTGTGTGTGTCCCCAGCACCCTCCCTGGCCCCTGACACGGATCCATTCCAGGCCTGGCCCCCATGTGCGGCTTTGGGCGTGCCCATCTGCCTCTGTGGGTCCCTCTGTGTCCATGGACCGGGGGAGAGGAGGAAGCAGGTGGTCTCCAAGACTTTGTTGGGAAACCCCACAAACTGGGAGCCTGATGGGGAGGCCAGACGACCCTCCCATGCAAATCTCAACCCCTTACCTCTGCTTCATACACCTGCCAGGGCACTTCTGGCTACAGTAAACAGAAAACGCCTCTGGAATGAAGTGTGGAGGGGTCCTGCCTGTCCAGACCCAGAGCCTAGGAGGGGGGATTGCCATCCTCCAGGAGGCCTCAGGACCCCACAGGTTCAAGCAGATGGGAGGTCTGGGGGAAGCCTCTGCCGGCGTCATTGGGAGGAAGGGTCAACAGAGACTTGAAGGACGTTGCCAGCTTGCCCCTGAATCAGATTGTAATCCCAGCTCTGCACTTGCCTGCTGTGTAGGGTAATGACACCTCCTTCGCAGAGGGTTGTGCGGGTTAGACTCGATGTGTGGGAACCCTGGGTCCCACTCGGTACCTGGAGGAGACTCATTCCGAAGTGTCCCCTTGCTCTGGGCCAGGCGTGGGCTTGGTGCTGAGGGCTGGAGCCCAGAGAATACCTTCTGGCAGAGGGGAAAGTGACCCACATATAACCATTGCAGGTTCAGTGGGTCCTGAGCTGGGAAGCCCAAAGAGCTCAGCCTTCAGAGGTGGGAGAGCTCCTGGCTGGAATAACCAAGGGAGGCTTCATGGAGGAGGCAGCATTTGAGCGGGCCTCAGAGGATGGGCAGGACGTTCATGGCCCTGCTCACTGCTGCACGGCCTCAGGGAATCCTCCCAATGGACAAGGACCCTCTGTCACATTCTACAGCTAGTGAAGGGCCGCGTCAAGCTTCACTGGACCACATCTGCAAAGTCCCTTTTGCCATATAAGGTTCCAGGGATTAGGACGCGGGTGTCATCTTTGGGGGCCATTATTCAGCACACGGCAAGGCGATGACGTCGAGAACCTTGAGATGGGAAGATTATGCCGGATCATCCAGGTGAACCCCATGTGATCACAAGCGTCCTTACAAGAGGGAGGCCAGGCAGGAGAATAACGCAGGAGATGGAAACAAGGGTCAGAGAGGCCTGCTTTCGAGACGGATGAAGCGGCCGCAAGCTGAGGGCGGCCCCCGGCCTCTCCCCTGGAGGCTCCGGCCCTGGGAGCTCCTTGGGTGTAGCCCCGTAAGAGTCATTTGGGGCTCCTGACCTCCAGGACCGCACCAGGATAACTCGTATTGTTTTAAGCCACTAACATCACGGTAATTCGTTAACAGCAGCCAGATACCTGCTCGCACGGCATTAGCCTCCCCCTTCCCCGGCAACCTTGCCCCAAGGGCCTCTTACACTTTATTCCAGTGCTCACCAGTTTGGTCTGAGCACACGTTCCCCCAACCTGTCTGCCAGCAACTCCACAGCTTTCTGTGTGTGTGTGTGTGTGTGTGTGTGTGTTTTGTTTTTTTAGCTTTTAATTTTTTTTTTAGTAATTTCCATACCCAACGTGGTGCTCGAACTCACAACCCCGAGATCAAGAGGCACATCCTGTTCGCACTGAGCCAGACAGGCGCCCCAGCCTTCTCTGCCTTTTAAAGCTCCCTACCACCCCTTCCCAAAGCCAGCTCGCACCCACTAGGCACTTGTTAGACGCGGGTCAAATGTAAATAAAGCTGTGTCTTTATTTGGATTTACGGCAGTTGAGAGGGACGGGCTTTTGATGGCGGTAACTGCTGTTTTCTCCAGCCCCGTGGCCTCAAAGCAGAACTGGAACCCCCATGGCAGCTGAGTGCCAGCAGCTCTGCCTGAAGCAGAGGGGTGTCGGGCCTCCCTCTGGGGCAGGAGACGGCTCTGGCCATCCGTGGCAGCCAGAAAGAGGCCCGCTGAAAACCAGATCTCAGCACAAAGGGCAGCGGGCAGGGGGAAGATTTCTCTGTGGATCCCAGTTCCGGTCTATTCTCGGCCTCCCCCTGTCCACAGGGGGCTACGCTGGCCTTCTGGGCTCTGCCCTGGGGAAGGCGCCCAAGCTCTTAGATCTCTAGACAACTTCAGCTCAGAAAAGACCCGACCCAGTCCCCACCCTTTGCCGCAGGAACATGTCGGTCCAGAGAGGGAAAGCCACTTGCTCGAGGTCACACAGCAATTTCGTGAGTCTCGAAACAGGCTGCAAGATTCCCGTCCGGTGCCGACTCCAGGGGACTGGTGGGGGGGGGGGGGGGGGGGGGGTGCACGAGGCCGGCCTCCCTCTGGGTCTCGGGACCTCAGGGCGGGCTGGCCCAGAGCCGGGGGCGGGTGCAGCCTCACTTGAGATTGTGCTGGCTTTCCCGGTGCCGCCGCAGGTCTACCTTGCGCTGAAAGCCTTTGGTGCACAGCTCACAGCTGAAGGGCTTGAAGCCAGTGTGCTTCCGGCTGTGGGTGATGAGGTTGGAGCTCTGGCTGAAGGCCTTCCCGCACACCTGGCACTTGTGTGGCTTCTCACCTGCGGGCAGCAAGGACGGGGTCAAGGGCCTTGGTGCCAGGCCATCCCCCCCACCCCCCCGCCCCGGTGCCCTGCATTTGCTCTCCGAACTTCACCATGTGTTATGTCACGGCCCGCCTACGTTCACTTTTGAAAGGAGCTACAACGTTTATTTATTTTTTGGGGAACAGAGAGAGACAGAGCATGAACGGGGGAGGGGCAGAGAGAGAGGGAGACACAGAATCGGAAACAGGCTCCAGGCTCTGAGCCATCAGCCCAGAGCCCGACGCGGGGCTCGAACTCACGGACCGCGAGATCGTGACCTGGCTGAAGTCGGACGCTTAACCGACTGCGCCACCCAGGCGCCCCTCGAAAGGAGCTACAAAAGGGAGACAGGAGGGGCGCCCGGGCGGCTCAGTGGGTTAACCTTCCGACTTCAGCTCAGGTCACGGTCTGGTAGTTTGTGAGTTCGAGCCCCGCGTCGGGCTCCGTGCTGTCTCCCTCTCTCTCTCTGCCCCTACCTTGCTCGTGCTCTCTCTCTCTCTCTCTCTCAAAAATAAATAAACATTAAAAAAAAATAAGAGGGAGATGGGAATACTACAATTCTGTCACCCCCTGCACCCCCCGACCAGAATACTGTAACTCTGTCACCCCCTACGCCCCCTGAGATCAGGCAGGGACTGGGTCCATCCTGTTTGTCAACGTGCCCAGCACCTGGTGCAAAAGAGGCACTCGCTTAGCAGCCAGGGAGCGAATGACTGGAGGAATGAAGGAATGAAAGACAAAGTCGCCCGCCCTTCTCACTTCTACCCAGAGAGCACACGTTTGCTGTTTCTTTCCTGGTGTTTTTCCCAGGCGCTAAATGTGTGCTTAAACAGCACCGTGCGTCCAGCCCTCCGCGGGGAGGGGGGCGCCCCCTCACTGTGTAACTGGTGGGGCTGAACTGGGGGGACCTTTTAACAGAGGAGGGTGGGGCGCCCAGAGGCTGCGCCTGGGCAGGGGCGGGCTTGGCGGGGGAACCCGGGGCGCCTCACCGGTGTGGATGTAGGTGTGTTTCTTCATGTCCGACTTCTGGTGGAAACGCTTCCCGCAGAACTGGCAGGGGTAGGGCCGCGTGTCCGAGTGGATGAGCAGGTGCGTGGACAGGGTGGACGAGCGCTTGAAGGCTTTGCCGCACATCCGGCACTCGAAGCTGCGCTCCTGCCGGAGGAAACGAGGCCCCGGGGGGTCAGGCGCAGGCGGGGCCTCGAGACCCGGGACTGCCACGCTGGGTGCAGGACCGGGCCCTGCCGGGATCCCCTGAGGAACAGGACACTCGTTGGGGTGGCCTCAAGAACGGGGCCTGGAGGAGAGGACCCAGAGACCCCCATTTCTGCATTTCCAACGGGGGCCAAGACATGGGGCCCGAGTGGCCTCCTGTGGGTTTTTCCCTGGAACCTTTACAGTATCCCATGCAAAATAAGCCTCGACATGCGTTTGTTGACTCACTGATAGACCGACTGATCTGGGGCATCGTCGTGGACTGTGGTTAAGGGTCTGTATTATTGGGGCCCCATTCTGGCTTCTGCCCCTTATAGGCCAACATGACCTCAGGCAAGTCATTAACCGCCCCCCCCCACCCCGTCCCCGCTGAGACTCAGTTTCCTCATCTGGACATTACAACAGCAGTCATGACCTCGGAGGGTGGAGAGCTGAGCACATGTTGCATTCACAAGCTCTCATGACCATATCCTGCCTTTCCTGCCTCAGCTTCTATTTACTCCGGTGTTAGCAACTCAGGTCATTTCGGGTGCTTTCCCTGGAATGGAATATTCAAGAAGGGCTACGTGGGACAAGACGGACATTGAAGCCTGACCCCAAGATTCTCGAAGTCGAGAGCCTCAGAGCTGAGGACACCTGCACTGATCACCCAGAGGGCAGGATCATTTCTCTGTGTCACAGACATCTCTCTGACCCCCGAAATCCCACTGGGCCAGGAGCCTCTTCCAACAGCATGTGAGGTTGATTTGGTCCATCAGGGAGTGAAGTTTGTTATAATTGTATATATTATATACAGTTTTGGGGAAACTGTAACATAACTAGCATTATAGAACAAACATTCTCTCTAAAGAACAAATTTAGGGGCGCCTGGGCGGCGCAGTCGGTTAAGCGTCCGACTTCAGCCAGGTCACGATCTCGCGGTCCGTGAGTTCGAGCCCCGCGTCGGGCTCTGGGCTGATGGCTCAGGGCCTGGAGCCTGCTTCTGATTCTGTGTCTCCCTCTCTCTCTGCCCCTCCCCCGTTCATGCTCTGTCTCTCTCTGTCCCCCAAAAAATAAAAAAATAAACGTTGAAAAAAAAAAAAGAACAAATTTAAAAATATATATCATGTAATCATTTTTAGGAAGAGCAGGTTTGGGGGACCCAGATGGGGGAGGGAAGGACCCCTGGTCCGTGTCACCCTCAGGGGCAGGGCGAGAGACCCAGGCACAGCTCCCAGGCTTCCTGGGGGCAGCACAGAGCAGGACGGGGGTGGGGGGGCGGTGCTTGGCGAGCTGCCTACCTGGGAGTGGACGTGCGTGTGCTGCTCCAGGCTCACGGCATGGCCGAACGTTTTGCCACAGATGTCACAGGCGAAGGGCCGGGTCCCGCTGTGGGAGCGCCGGACGTGCACTTCGAGCCCATGTGGGGTGGAGAACACCTGAGGGCGGGGCAGAGCGTGAGGCCATGGCGGGGGGGGGGGGGGGGCTGCGGACGGGGAGCCGGGCCTGGGGTCCCAAGGCCACCCCCACCCCTCCACCTCCGTGCCCAGGCACAGACGGGCATAAAGTAGGGGAAGCACGGGGTTGCCGATTCTGCTGGCTTTTGCTGTGTGTCCTGGGAAGGTCCCTTTCCCTCTCTGTGGCTTGGTTTCCTGTCTCTAAAATGGGGGCTGTGGGAGCATGTAAAAGGTCCCTCCCGGCCCTCTCTAGAGGCCAAATAGTCAGCCCACTGGTACTGACGTCTACTTACTGTGTGTTCTGGGGCAAGTGATTCAACCTCTCTGAACCTTAGCCTTTCATCCACATCCCAGGGCTCAGGTGCGTCAAGTGCTTTGCACAGGCCTGGCGCACAGTCAGGGCTCAAACACCATGATGGGGACGAGCATTTTGAAGCCCTGACCCCGCCAAAGGACCCGAGATTCGCAGCACAGGGAACCCCCGGCTGTGAACGCCTGCCCCTGCCAGGGACCTGCAGAGGGGATGCAGAGCAGGGCCCGTGAGCACCACCCCCCCCCCCGCCACCCCTCCCCAGCTGCTTACCTTGTTGCACTTGATACAGTGGTACGCGTCCATGCCCGGGGAGCAGCGGAGGCTGAAGTCCAAGGGCGGCTCAGTGCTGGGCACCAGAGGGCTCCCATACAGGCTGACGGAGCGCTCCAGGAAGGCAGACTGCATGGTGGAGGGGGCCTGCCGGTAGCTGTGGCCATAGGAGGAGGCCAGGGCATCCCAGGAGAAGCTGGGCTTGTAGAACGGGGGTGAGTCGGAGTCCCTGTCCTGGGATCGGGGCATCACAGCGGGGCCCTCTGTGGAGAGCGGGACGCGTGTCTACACATGTATGGTGGCGATTCATTTATTTATCATTTGGGCGCCACTCCCCACCCCTCCCCACCTAGCGACCTCACCATGAGGGTCTGGGTCTGCAACCCAGATATTTACTGTGGGAGCGGGCCTGGGTCCTCACTGTGGCTCCTCACCTTTTCACCCCGGAAACACGCCCTCAGCACCCGCAGAGCGCCCACCTCACCCCCTGTACCAGCCCGCCCACCACACAGAAGCTCTCAGCTGGGTATGAGCGCCCCGTCCGAGAGGGGGCCAGGCAGAAGCTGGAGAGCTCAGATCGCATCCGGGTGAACTCGTCGCTCTTCCCTGACTCCAGAGCCCGTCCACCCTTCCTTCCACTTGCACTGGTTGGGTGGGGAGGGGGTGGGGGTTGTGGCTGGCCGGGGGTCCCAGCCTGCCTACCTGGCACCAAGGCCGTCCTGGTCAGGCTCTGGTCCAGTTCCAGCTCTGTTTCCCGTTTGAGGTCAGTCCAGGCCAGGCGCTGGTTCGGGAACAGGGTGCTGAGGACAGGATCGTTGCTCAGGACCTGGTCCCTGGCGCCTGTGGGGAGACAAGACCGTCAGAGCCACCGGCCACAGCTCTGGGCAGTCCAGAGGGAGCAGGGGGTGGGGTGGGGGACACCCTTCCCAAGATGATGGGGACCCAGAGACCCATTTGCCGCTGTCCCCAGCTGCTCATGCGCATGGGCCCTGCCTGACCGGGCCCCAGGATGCGGGGAGCAGGGCTGCGGCCAAAGGGGACCCAGAAGAAGAACTCCTGGACCGGGCTTCGTTTTCTGAGCACCTGAGCTCAGCCCTAGATCTTTTCTGACTCTGGTTAGGACCCACATGTCAGCTGCAGAGGGCCAGCTCCAATCCGGAAGCTTCCGTCATCCCAAGGGGCCATTCATTCGTTCAACCAACATATGCCGTGCCCCCCCTGCTTGCAGACTTCCCAACACGGGGGACAGGGAGCCCCGGGTGGGCACAGCAGGGGAGCTCTGACTCACCAGGGCTAAAGGCAGGAGGCCAGATGGGTTCATCTTCCTGGAGGCGGGGCTGGTGGTAGGTGTGAGCTTTCTTGCTCTTTACCAGGAAGGAGCGTGGCATTGTGAGCGCACACCCCACACCTGCACGGAGAGAGGGCGAGGACAGTTGGGAAGGACAAGAGGACAACATTCTCTGTATTTTGGAGCCGCCTCCTGTAGTCAGAACCCACTGTCCTGAGTTGAATAGTGTCCCCCGGAAGCTCATGACCCCTGGGGCACCTGGGTGGCTCAGTCGGTTGAGCGTCTGACTCTCAATTTCGGCTCAGGTCACGATCTCATGGTTCATGGGTTCGAGCCCCGCGTCGGGCTCTGTGCTGACGGCTCGGAGCCCGGAGCCTGCTTCGGATTCTGTGTCTCCCTCTCTCTCTACTCCTCCCCCGTTCATGCTCTGTCTCTCTCTGTCCCAAAAATAAATAAACGTTGAAAAAAAAAATTTTTTTTAAAGAAATAAATAAACATTAAAAAAAAATTAAAAAAAAAAAGTTCATGACTCCCCGGAACCTGTGAATGTGACCTCATTTGGAAATAGGGTCTTGGCGGATAAAAAAAATTTTTTCTAATTTTTTTTTTTTACGTTTATTCATTTTTGAGAGACAGAGAGAGACAGAGCACAAGTGGGGGAGGGGCAGAGAGAGAGGGAGACCCAGAATCCGAAGCAGGCTCCAGGCGTGGAGCCGTCAGCACAGACCCTGTCGTGGGGCTCGAACCCACGAACCGTGAGATCATGACCTGAGCCGAAGTTGGATGCTTAACCGACTGAGCCACCCAGGGCACCCCCCCCCCCCCATTTTTTGTAATGTCTATTTATTTTTGAGAGGGAGAGAGAGAAACAGAGAGAGAGTGGGGGGGAGGGGCAGAGAGAGAAGGAAGCACAGAATCTCAAGTGGGTTCCAGACTCCATGCTGTCAGCTCAGACCCTGACGTGGGGCTCAAATCCACGAATCAGAAGCTGGAGATTCCTTCCTCCAGAAGGCAACTGACCTCGTTGAAACCTTGAGTTTGGATCTCTAGACTCCAGAACCTTGAAAGAATGAATTGAGTGTTTAAGCCACCCGGTTTCTAGTACTTTCCTATGGCAGAAATCCTAACCTTCCCTCCCCTACTGCTCCCTTGCAGTAATACACCCACCTTCTAGAAACCCCCAGGGTCAGCCTGCTCCTGTCCACACGCGCTGAGTTGCACTGGGAGCAGAGGAGGAAGGGCAGGGGTGCCTCCCCTGTGGGCCCCGCAGCCAGAAAGCTGAATTTCACTCCTGTGGCGTCTGCATTTGGAGGCCACGGAAAGGGGTGGTCCGAGTGCAGATTTTGGAGTCAGATGCTCATGGGTTAGAATCTCGGCTCACCCGCTGTGTGCTTTGGGCGCAGATGCTTAACCTCTCTGGGCCTACTGCCTTTTCTGTAAGGCATGGCATCCAGGTGCCTGGCACTGGGTCTCTCATGTGCTCAGTGCTTACCACGGAGGGGACGGGGGGGGCGGGCATGTTGCATCAGGGCCACCCCAATAGCAAATCCGCATTACCCTGGTGCCGATGCAGCCAGAGCAGGGCCGCCCCTTGTCCATGGCCCCGGCCCGGAGTCCAGGGCCCAGAGAGGGAGGAGCCTTCTCTCTGCATGGGGGTGGAGGGGAGGCTTGGAGTTGCATGTGGGGCTCAAGGCCGGAGAAGACCACCAGTGCACCCTACTGGGAGGCCGGACGTGGAGAAGGAGGCCAACGTCCGCCAACTGCAGGAACCGAGCAGTGGGCAGCGGCCAGGGGGTTGGGGAAGACACGAGGCCCAAATCAGTAAGGGACCTGTACTTGGCCCCGGGCGGGGGTCGGGGAGCGGCAGAGCCAGAACACCTTGATGCTCCCGGCTTCCCTTGAGGGCTCCTGGGAGACAGAGAGCATCTGGGTGCGGCTCCTTCCTCTTCACCCCCATGCCATGCCCAGGCAGGGGCGCAGGAAATACTTTGCCAATGCCGTTCCCGGTGGCTCCTCTGCTGGTCCCTTTCCCGGGCATTGGAGCAGGAACCCCCTTCCCCAGGCCAGCAGCCACGGAGGGCTGCAGGGACCACAGGGCCAAGCGCGGGAAAAGGATTATAGCTGCTCCAACAACAGCCAGGGCTGGGTGATAAGGCCAAGGCAAGGAACCGGCTGGGAGGAGGGAGATTAGAGAGAGCAGCTTGGAGCCCTGCCTTTGGAGCAGGCCCAGGGAGGAACTCCTTCCCCCAGGGAGGACCCCGAACGAGGCAGGAGACGGACCCCCCCCCCCAGTTGTGCCCAGGCCTGCCTGTCCCTCACCAGAGCCCCCAGGGCATCGGGAGTCTGGAGAGACCCCTCTGCTCCCGGGTCATCCTAGGCCCTGCCCTCCTCACTGTAGGTCTCAGTGTCCAGATCTGCTAAATGGGGATGGCAACCCACCTTCCTGCGACTGTTGGAGCAGAAAGGACCTCCTTGCAAACAAATGTGCAAAGTGCTTGGCGTGGGGCCTGGGCTGCAGGAGCACAGAGCAGGTGGTGGCATCTCAGCCCATGGGAGAAGAAGCTTCAGGAAGGCAGGCACAGCCCACATCCTGTCCTGGCCTGTCCATTTGCATTCCCAGTACCCCGCCCAAAGCAGGTACACTCTGAGGAGAGGGCTGAGCCCTGGACCGGGACCAGGGACATGCTCCAGGCCCTTCCCTCTGGGATCTGAAACGAGGAGGTGGGGCTTGAAGGCCCTGGGGTCCCGTCCAGCTGTCAGATTTTGCCTTCACAAGGCTTGCCTGGCCTGTTGGCCCCCGCCAGGCTTGTCGGGCAGCCTGCGGTGGCCTTATCTCCCGGGGACAGTCTTCTTCCTCCTGCCCCTCCCCCTCCCCCGCCCGGGCTCCTCACAGCCCCCTTCCTTCCCCTTCTAACTCTTGGCCCCAGGAACCCCCTGCGGAGGCCAGACCCTAGGCAGAGCCAGCGGGGGTCCCCCCCCAACACACACACAGGGGGAGGTGGGGACTGGGTTTTGGTTTGTTTTTTTTTTTTTTTTTTTTTTGGGGGGGGGGGGGGGGGGGGGGCGGAGGCCTCCAAAGGACCATGGTCTCTCCATCAAAGATGATTTATTATTTTTATATAGTATCTTATTAGGAAGTCAGAACCAAAGGCAGGCCTTAAAGCTTCAGTGCTGGAATCCCAGGAGATCCTTCCTGCGGCCAGCATCTGTGTGGCCTTAGCTCGGTTAATTCTGACCTGGGGGCTGAGTTGCTACTGCCCCATTTTTCGGAGGAGGAACGGAGGCTTAGAGACTGGCTCATGATCCCCAGCAGATCCCAGGCCGCCCCCCCCCCAGGCTTCTATGCTCCTGACCGTCAGACCATCGGGCGGGCGCTTACTCTGTGCAGAGGGAACTCCTTCCATACGCTAAGGAAGGCATTTGAAGCTCCCTGGTGTGCATGATGTCACCAAACTGACACCCACTGGGGACAAGGTTGTCTTCCAGGCTCACAGGGGGAAACTGAGGCTGAGAGAGGAAAGTGGCTTGTCCAGGCCCGGTGTTCCTGTTCTGCTGGGACTTGAACTCCTGGCCCGGGGCTCTGCCCGTGGGCATCTGTGGTTCTGCCCGCCTGGAGCAGGGAAGGCTGGTGGGTGGGGCGAGATGGGGGGGGGGGGGGGAATCCAATTCTTTTGATCCCTCTGTTTTTTTTCAGAACCCAGAAGTTCCACGTGGGTTCCTGAAGAGCTTTGAGTGGAGAAGCAGGTGAGAAAGACTTCCTTCAGGAAGCTTTGGTGTTCCCTTGGGCTCAGAGCCTGAGGACCCCATAGAGGTCAACCGGTTAGAACCCAGGACAGCACAAGTGCATGAGCAAGGGGGGCCCAGATTGCAGGGTCCCCGGCTGGAGGAAGGCGACCCTCAGGGCCCATTCTGGTGATCCCCTCAGAGTCCCCAGCTTCCTCCCCTTCCCTCCCCAGAAAGTTCTCTCAGCTCAGCCTGGCAGGGAGGCACAGCCAGCCTCATGGCCCAGCCTTTAAGCGCCCGTGGGGGCAAACACACCGCGAGAACTTCCTTTTGGCCCCTGTTAGCTGAGTTTAAAAGAAAAAAAAAAAAAAACAGGAACCAATCACCTATACTGTAGTTAATTAACAACCACACCGTTTTGATTCACTCGACGGTTCTGAGAAAGGGCTTGGAGCAGAGATTGTGAAAGAACCCTAAGATTTCTTCATGAAACAGAGGTCTTGATGGTATCGGCCTCCGGAAAGAGACTTGGTGTTAACATCTCGTCCAAAACCCTCGATCCCGATAGAGGGTGCCCCGACCCCGGGGTCAGAATCTCAGCCCCACACCCCTACTTCCAGGCGGACGCAGAGCCGCAGCCTTGTGATTTCCCCACGACGAGGCACCTCGGGCCTCCCGTGGGGCTGGGTCTGATTTTGCGACCTTGAGCTTGACCACGTCAGCCTCCAACCTGGGGCTTGGTTTTCCTATCTCTCAAAAGGGACCGTTGGACTAAGAGATTTCTAAACTTCCCTTTTGCTCTAAAATCCCATGCACAATTTGTTGACCTTCAACGCGGGACTGGCCTACCTTGACTGAGAAACTCATCACCCGGGTTCCCTTTTTGGGAGGGTTGGGTAAGACTCTGTTGTTTCTCAGAGTCAGTGATAGAGGACACTTCAGACTTCCTTTCTGTTTAAAGACGTGACTCAAGGGGAAACACAAACAAAAATTAAAAACCCTTTTCCAGGTAAGAGTCAGGGGAAATGGGTCCGGGGCGGTGTTAGGGGCCCCGCGCGGAGAGCGGTCATTATTCTCATTTGAAATTTGCAAGCATTTCTCCCGTCTTCCTCTTACGTTGAGAGACTGCAATTATCCTGAGTGAACCAACTTCTGAGCTTACACCCAAAAGAACGGAAGGCAGGGACTCAAACAGATGCCTGTCTACCCAAATTGATCGCGGCGCTGTTCGCAATAACCAAAAGATGGAAGGAAACAACCCAACTGTCCATCAGCAGGGGGTAGACAAACAAAATATGGCTGTTCCATGCAACAGACCACTATTCAGCCGTATCGAGAAAGGAGGTCCTGACACCCGCCACAACATGATGGGTCTCAAGGGCACGTGTAAGCGAAATAAGACAGTCACGAAAGGACGAATGTCATAGGACTCGGCTTATACGACGTCTCCAGAGAAGTCAGATTCACAGACACAGAAAGGGCAGTTTCAGTTTGAGAAGATGAAGAGAGTTCTTGAGATGGACGGTGGTGATGGTTGCACAACATTGTGAATGCATTTAATGCCACAGAACTGCACACTCAAAAAATGGTGGAAACGGTCGCTTTCCCGTGACGTGCATTTTACCACGACGAGCACACAAATGAGCGAACAACACGTTTCCCCAACCTCTCTGAACTGGAGCAGCTCCCGTCGGTCTGAATGCCTGAGAGCGAATGAACAGAAAAACCTCCCTCTAAATTAAGGAGGGTGAGGTTTTCTGTTGTGGCCGAAAAGGGTCGAGATCACATGTGATTAGGCTATTTTCCTGGAGTCGATCTGACCCCAGACACGTCGGGAGTCCTTGTGGTTCCCCAAGAGGACCCCCACCCCACCCACCCTCCTGAAAACCTCGAGAAAATGTTCTGCATTGGTTTTGACTAACTCCATCAAACGCAACCCAGATGGGGGTCTCTGATGCTCCCCAGGAACGTTCTGCAGGGAAACCAGCATACCGACCCCCAGATCTTGAGCTGGAAGGCCATCTCACACATCTCCGTACATAAAGGGTCCCCTGTGTACCACCTCCGAGGACGAGAAACTTGCCAGCTCACTAAGACTGAAATCTTCTCCCCGTCCGTTGCTTACGAAGAAATATTAGGAGGCACGAGCCCCGCGGGCAGGTGCAGCTCAGTTAGCTCGTGCCAGAGCCAAGTTCGGAGCCTGCAAATTCATTAGCCCCCTCTAGGCGACTCGTGAAAACTTCAGACTCTCTCAGAAAAATGTACACAAGCAGCTACCCACAGCGATTCTAGGGACCACCTTCCCCCTTAACAAACCCTGTTGTAGAGAGGGGACCTCACCCCAGACGCCCAGACTCTCAACTTGGGTTTTTCTCCAAAGTTAGGTAGAAAAGACTGAGACGACATGTGCTCTTCTACAGCCGTCTCGTTCCTGGAGGCTGGGGGCCGGGGCAGTGGACAAGGCACTCTCCCTTCTCCCCTCACGAGGCTCTGGATGAGAGGGCACTCACTCTCAAAGTGTCCCAGGAACTGGGGTTCACTCCTGTTTCATAGACAAGGCAAGTTCAGAGGGCTGGGGGGGGGGACACAGCCAGTCGGTGCCCCAAGCTGCCCCCCACCCAAGCCAGGCACCTCAAGGAGTGTCACCCCACGCTCTGGCCAGGTCCCCGGGAGATCCGGGGTGTGGGTATGACCTCGCACATGCAGATGATCCTTGGCAGACCCGATGGGGTTTTGGAAAGGGTACTTATGCACGGTTGGCAGAGGGCGTAATTCCCATACGGGCTCTGCCTCTCACTGCCTTCTCCCCGGCCGGGTTCAAACGCTGAAAGCTGTGCCCCATGGAAGAGATCTCCGAGCCCACCTCATTCTCCCCATGACTGCAGAAGGGCCCCGGGAACCTGCCTGGAAACAACCTAAGTCACACATGCAAATCTAAAAAGAAAAGGCTGGGATGGAGTCCTCACCTGGCGTCCGGGTCGGTGGCGGGTCTTGGTGGGAACCTCACTCAGCCTCTCTGGGGACCGGCTCCACTCTGTCAACCTCGGATTCTGCTCCAGTAGATACTTCTCTTTTTTTTTTTTTTTCCCCTTTCCCTCTCTCACTCTCTCTCTCTCTCTCTCTGTTTTTTTTTTTTTTCCCTCTTCTGTTCCCCTCCTTGATTTTCAATCTGATTATTTGTGTCAAAATCTGGCGGTGAAGGAGCAGCCAATAGAGAGCGCCCCGGCATTTGCTTATCAAAGCTTCCCGGCCCGACGGCGCTCCCGCCCCGCCAGCCCTCCGCCCTGGGAGCCGCGCTCTGCGCCCCTCCGCGCCCCAGACCTGCTGGAAGAGGAAGGAGCGGCTAAATCATCCCATTAAAAAGAAATTAAAGTGAAAATAAAGTGCTGCCTCGTACACCTGATTTTGTACAAACTCGATCCTTTCCCCCTTCCTTCCTTTGTCTCTGTCTCTCTCCCTCCATCCCAAGCCAGGAGCACGGGGCTCCAAAGCCACCCAGACGGCCCCTAGAGAGGCTCCACTCGTCCTTGCAGCGGTGACCTTTGAGAAAAAAGGTCAAATTCACGCTTCCCCGGACTTGACCCCGGCACAGGGGAAGGAGCAGCCTGGGCGCTTGCCCCGAGAGCCAGCCCGTAGGCCACCTGCAGGTTGCACTCTGGGCCCCAGGCCCTGCGCGTGCCGCCATCTGGCGGCCTCGAGGAGACCCGGGGGTAGGCTGGGGCCCCATCCCCTGCTCCCCCACCTTCTCCCTCCTGTGCCCCTCAAGCCTCCCACGGCTTAGGGATGACTGATTTATTTCAGGAGGTTTTGCATAAGAGGAGAACTCACAAAACCGAGCACTGTTAGGCTGATTTGCATGCCTTCCCAGCCCAGCGCTGGAGAGATTATGTTTCCCTCGTAAGAAAACAAGTTTGGAGACAGGAAGCCCCGAGGTAACACGCAGGTCCGATGAGACCGACAGGAGGAGAAAGGGGGTCTTGGGCGAGGCTGTTCTGCGACTGGGTCCTGCCTCGAGGTCACCTGGGCCTGCTCCCGCCGCAGGGGGCGTGGGTCCCAGCACGCAGGGCGCACACAGGAGACCATGGCCCTCAGCCCTCCGTCTCTCCTTGGTGGAGAGAGAGTGTAGAAACATCTGGAGTATTCTTTGGATCTTACACATTGCTGACAGTCAGCTAGAACTGTGTGTCATCATACAGAAAACTTAAAAAATAATCCAAGGACATTAAGCACAAATTCCCATTTCTTCCCATCCTCACTGTATTATACGTGCACATCTATATTTTGCTTATGCAGGGGCGCCTGGGGAGGCTCAGTCGGTTAAGCGTCCGACTTCAGCTCAGGTCACGATCTCGCGGTCTGTGAGTTCGAGCCCCGCGTCGGGCTCTGGGCTGATGGCTCAGAGCCTGGAGCCTGTTTCCGATTCCGTGTCTCCCTCTCTCTCTGTCCCTGCCCCATTCATGCTCTGTCTCTCTCTGTCTCAAAAATAAATAAATCTTAAAAAAAAATAAGCATTTAAAAAAACATAATATATATATAATATAAAAATAAAAATTATATATATATGTATATATATATTTATATATTTATATATAAAGAACCAGACAGGAGCCGTCATGGGCTCCTTCCTGGTCTAGGCAGGTGGGACACAGTACCCCGAAATTTATAAATCGGGCTGATGAGTGCTGTGGTGTAGATATAGTATACAAAGGAGCACGGGCTTGGGGAAATGAACCCAGACTTGGGGAGTAAGGAGAGTTAATGAAGCTGGTGGAAGTGATATCTAGGTTGCTGCCAGGCTGAGTTCCTTGGGAGAAGGAAAGTAGGGAAGAGTGTCTCAAAGGAGGAACACCATGGTCAAAGAGCTGGAGGCGGGACCTCCAGGGAACTGACAGCAGCCAAGTTCAGTACGGGGGGGAGGGTAGAGGGCAGGACAAGGGGAGGGGAGGGTGGGACACTGGGGAGATGAGCCTAGAGAAGAAAGAAGGAGCAGGTCAGGAAAATTCGTCCCCGATTTAAAAACCTTCAGTGATTTCCCTTTACCTAACAGGACACAAATCTCGGCCTCGGGGACCAGCATTCAATGTTTTTCGGTGTCAGACCTCTTTCAAATGACAGCACTTTTTACAAAGCAAGTTGCAGAAACCCAATTTGTAACAACAACAGAACCATTAGTTCATGTCACGGAAAAGGGTCAGCTTCAGGCATGGCTGGATCCAGATGCTCGGACGATGTTGTCTAGATCTCATTCATTCCCGCCTCAGGACATTGGCATTTGCTGTCCCCTCTGCCTGGATGGCCTTGCGACAGATCTCCCCATGGCTGACTCATTCTGGGGTCAGCTGAAATGTCATCTCTGCAGAGACCTCTTTGACCAGCGACTAAAGCAAGACCTTCCCACCCCAGCCACTTTCTGCCCCATCATCCTACCCTTTGTTCTTCTTCGTGTTCATGATTATCTGAAATTGTCCTGTTGATTTATCGCCTTTGTATTTACTCATATATATTTTTGGCCTGACTGCCCACGCCGAATGGAAGCGCTACAGGAGCAGGGATAGAGTTTGCCTAGTGGTGTTTTTACAGAGTGAATGAATGAACGAGAATCCACGCCTGCATCTGTCTCTCTCCATCTCTCGGCTTTGCTTTCTTCTCTGTTGGCTTTTATCCTGGGGCTGAGATCACCAACGTGGTCAGCTGTGGTCCCCGATCTTAGAAACCCCAGTGGAAAGGAAGCCCCTTTCTCGGTGGTTTCAAGGAGAGGCCCCAGGCTGACTCTGATTGGCCCAGCCCGGTCACAAGCCATCGCCCCCGCACCAATCGCCGTGCCAGTGGGAGGGATCGGGGTCTCTCATTGGCCAGGGCTGGCCAATCCTCCTGCCCCAACCTCCAGGAGGCAGGGGTGAGTTCGGGAGTAGAGAGAGCGGTTGTCACCACGCAGAATAAGACCAGGAAGGTGCCTGGGCCGCGCCTTCCACCTCCCACTTTCCACTTTCTAAGCGTCCTTTCTTTGTCACTTGGACATGCTGCGTCTAGTCCCTGCTGGAGACCAAATCCCAGTCCCTGCCTTTGCCCTTCCTCTTTCCCATGTTCAGCTCGGTTCTGCTCTCACCTCCTCCAGGAAGCCTTCCCAGATGCCCACAATCCACGGGACCACCCCTGACGGCCCTTGGATTCTTTGTCAGTGGGCACTCAGCTGTTTCTCGATGGGACCAGCAACCACCCACAGGCAGGAATGCTAGGGAGCCCTCTCTCACCGGCCACGGCACAGACTCTCCTCCTGATGCTGGCCTGCAGGGAGCACGGCCAGGCTGGAGAAGCGAGAGCCGCTGCTACCCGAGGGCCCGGCAGTGGGCAGTGTGCAGAGCCCCCCTACCCTCCGTGGCGACATCCCAGACACGTGCAGGCGGGCTCGGGGGCGGCCAGGGAGATGAGGGTGGTGAACGTGCCGGGTGGGCAGCAAGGGTCCAGGCTGCGGTCCCAGCACACAGCATCAGCAGTGTCACCTCGGGCACCTTTCTGGCCTTGGCTTAGAATGGCCACAGAATGCAGAATGCAACAAACGTGAGCTGAGCCCACCCACCCCGGAACATCAGGACCCCTGGTGGTGGGGCGCCCCAGGGCCCCTGTGCCGTAGGGCCACCCTCCTCTACCAGAAAAGCGCCCATCCTCTGTCTTGTTGCGACTCAAGGCATTCAGGGAGATTGTGGAGCTCCTTCCTGGCTCAGGCTGCTTGCCAGGAGCTGCAGGCAGTTGAGGTGGCGGGAGCCCCGCAGCCTGCGACTCGCGACACCGCGGTTGGCGGTGCCCTGAGGGCCAACAGCCCCACCACCCAGGCGCCCTGCTCTTCCGGATGAAGCAATTCACCAGATAGCCACACGGTGGCGCTCCTGCCTCCTTTTCCTGCGGCAAAAACCAGCCTGAAACCATCTGACCTTCAGTCTGGCCATCCATCCATCATCCGTCCATCCATCATCCATCCATCCATCCAACCACCCATCATTCATCTAATTACGGCTTAAATTACAAGAGTGATCAGAGTGGAAAGAAAAAAGCAAGAGTATGCATGTCCCGATACGTGTTCCTTTAGTTTCTCTTTTTGCCTCCTCCCTCCCCCCTCCCTCTGACTCCCACCCTTCAGGCTCTCTCTCCCCTCTCCACAAATGGATACGTGCCTATAATGTTTTTCAATTCGAACAAATCTTTATTGATCCTTTGCTATCGAGTACCACACCGTCAGGCAATGCCTCCCCCAATCTGTGAGCTCAACCCTCCTGCCTCCAGGAATCTCCAGATGGAGACAAGAAACACCCTTTGGGAGACCATGAGGCGGGGTGCACTCACTTCACTAGGTGGTCTGTTTGCCTCAGAGAAGCGTGGAAGGAGGGGTGCTCTGCCCAGGCAGGGGGTGTGGGCCAGCAGCCTGAAAGGGCCTGCGTTCCTGCCTGGTACCTCCCAGCAACCCTGGTGGGGGTGTCAAACAGGGCACGTGGGGACCCCAAGACGGACCTGCTCCATCCGCCCCGACAGTGACTTTTCACCCGGAACCCTCCTCAGAAGGTCTCCAACAATGTCCCTCAAGCAACTGGGAAACTCCGTGGAAGGAGGTGGCTGGGGACTGGTGAGCCGAGGGAACCATAGATTCCCCCATCCAGCCACCGAAGCTTTCAGAAGAGGAAACTGAGGCCTTGAGAAGCCTACAAAGCAGAGCCAGGACTGGGGCCCTGGCCTCCCAATCTTCTTGCGAGCCCTTCACAATGGTGACTTTTTTCACTGCCCTTAACCTCGGTGTATCATCTGCGTCTGATAAAACAGAAATCCCCAGTGGCAATCCGCAGAGAGGAGGTCTAATTCTCCAGTCACTGGGGTGAAATGGAAGCATCGTCCTGGCGTCCAGATGCAGCCTCGTCTTGACTCACAACCAGATGCATGACCTCGAGCAGGCACTAGCTTCCCCTGAGCCTCAGACTTTACATCTCTGAAATGGGGCCAAGGATAAAACTACCCCGGGGTTGTTGCAGGTAGCAAATGAGGTAACCCATGCAAAAACGTTTATAAATGAAAATGCTTTGTAGGGGTGACTTATTGCTTCTCAGCAGAAATATGCA